TTTTTTTTTTTTTTTTTTTTTTTTTTTTTTTTTTTTTTTTTTTGTAAATTAGGACATATTCGTTTGTGTCACGTTTCGCGATGTATATTTCGCTTGGGGTAGTTCTTCCCTCTTTGGAGTAGTAGCACTTGGTCTATTTAGTCATTGCCCTCATGGACTTTGCAGCATCTTCCCACATGGCCTGACTTGTATTATTCGCGTGAACTGTTCGAGTTGGTAAAAAAATGTTGAAGGCACATTTTTAAGCTTCTTCAATAAGCACAGAGGTAGGAAGATAGAGATGACGGCGTACATATTTTTCATTGTATGAAATTTCAAATGAGAAGGAGTTTATCAAAATTTTTTTCATTGTTTTTTGTAACATAAAAAAATTGGGGACAAATGACGACGCGAATTATGTGCACGTAGGCGGAGTAATAATTCCAAATTTAAAAACAGGAGAAAAAAAAAAAAAAGCACAAATTTTGTTACACCTCCGCACACTCATCGCTGTACGCCTTTTTATACAAATGGGTCAAATTGGCTAGTTCCACTTTGAGGAAGTTTTTTTGGGGAGAAGTTTTCTCTACCATTTCATACTCCTCCGAGATGATCGCGCTGAAATGGCGCTTCAATTTGTTATTGTTTAAAAATATAATTAATTTTAGGACACACTTCAAAATGGTTATCTTCACAAAGACGTCCACTTCTTTGCTCAGTAAAGAAAGCAGTTCATCAATGATGGAAATTTTCTGTGTAGCTGTTTTGTCTCCGCGTGTGGGTTGAGTTTTTACTTCGATTGGGTCTTCCCTTCCATTAGTCCTTCCTTTGCCTTCGTTGTGGTTGCACTGCTCATGACGGTCGTCGTCTGTTTCACTGTCACCTTCACTGCTACCTTCGCCGCTTTCTTCTCCACTCATATTATCGCTATCACTTTCGTAAATACTGTTAGCATCTTTTCGTTGTCCCCGTTTGTGGGATGTTTGGGCGAGATGCTTGGGGTGCGCACTAAAGAGGGTAAACCCTTTCTTCCGCCTCTTGCTAAGACTATTCTGCGCTTCATTCACCTGATTGGGCTGCTCCAAATGGTGTTTCCTCTTGGGCATATCACCCTCTTCGATTTTTTTGGGATCGAATAGGAACCAGTACAGGATGGATGAAAGGAGTTCGCTGTTTTTGTTGGTTTGCTCATAATTGTAAATGAAATTATTTTTACTTATATCTGAGTGTGTATTTTCAAAGAGGCAAACGTAGGCCACAAAGTTAAGCTTGTGTAAAAAATGGTAAGTATTGCTATCCTTTTCTTTGAGGTACTCTTCATTAACATTTTTAAAGTTATATGGACCGCACAGAAAAATTTCTTCCTTTAAAAATTGGAAAATTTGTAATTCTTCATGGTTTGTCATGGTGGGTTTGTTCATGTAGAAGAGGATACTTTTTTTTTTTCCCACATCGTCGTTGTTGATTTGTTCTTCCGCTTGTTTGTCTAGATTGGGTTCAGTATTGGCCTGGACCTCTCCCTTTATGGGATCCATATGGAGGGAACTTTCAGGTTCTCTTGAGAGTGGCAATTGTGCTCCAGCAGAGTTGTCGATGGTGAAGACATCCTCCACATTAGTGTACTCTACAAAGACCTCGAATAGGTTTCCAAGTAGGAGACAGAAGAAGTAAACCATAAGATCTTTGTGGAAGGTATCCAGCAGTTCATGTAACATGCGGTTTACTTGCGCCACGTCGAAATATTTTTGTAGCTTCGATTGATCGCCACCATTTTGGTAAAAGGAATTTTTTAAAAGCTGGAAACCTTTGTCCTCCGAAAGGTCACAACGTGCTGAAGCAACACATTTGGACACAAACAGGTAGTAGAAGAAACAGGGCTGCTCTTCCTTATACATTTCTATGGAGTTAAAGATTATGTCTTTAAAATTATCGAACCCAAGAACATAATTCTTTACCCATTTGTTTTTTTCCATTTTTAAATAAATATTTAAAAGTAGGAAAATGAAAATATAAAGATGGCTCTTATCATTTTGAAACGTTTTTAAATATTTCTTCCCCAGGAAAATGATTACATCTAGGCCATATTTATCTTCATCCCTAATAGTTTTGTAATCGCCTTGATCAATATCTTGTTTGAGTATGTCTTCCTTCGTTTGGTTATGTGAATTATCATTGGTGTCTTGTTCCTTTGCACTACTTTTGCAAAAGTCCACAAATTGGTTACAAAGCCCATTAGCAGCATTGTCTACTTTTTGTTTAAAATTTTTTAGCAGTCTGTAGAATATATCAAATTCTATGTTGAAGTATAAAACGTTTAGGGCTAAACTTTTGGGTATGAATAAAATGGCCCTTATATATAGCTTTCTCGTGTATTGAATATTCTTTCTAATGTTATAAAAATAGTGCAGGTAGAAGACCCATATGAGTTCATTTTTTATATGATACTTTAGGCTGTTCAATATGGCAGTTTCCAAATTTTCCATTTTGCGTTTTAAAAAGCAAAAGTTGAAATAGTGTAGCCACATTTCTATGTTATTATGATGTTTCCTCAGGCACGTTTGGAAAATGTTAATTATTCTTTTTACAAGTGAATAATCTGATAAGCTATGTCGTATCAATACTTGTAATTTATTTTCCACTTTTAAAATGTTCTTCTTACAAGAGTTAATGCTGTGTTCATTTTTATTTAGTAACTTTTTCAAGGACTTGCTCTTTTGGGGGCATTTTTCACTTTCTATTTTGGTCTTCACATTTTTATATTCCTCGTATTGACTTTTTAGTAATTTGTTATATTCATTAATTTCATTTAGCATATCATTTTTTTTTTTTAATTTTCTTTTTTCTCTTATTTGTTCCAAGTTCATTTCGAATTCGATGTATAAAATGAAGTTGAGTAGTATGCACGATGAGCTGTTAATTGTGTATTCGTGGTTCCTCCTTTTGTTTGCAATTGCTATGATTTCCTTGTCTGTGAATAATTCCTTTCTCTTCAGGTCATTAAACTCGTATACCATGTTTTCCACCATGCGGCACACCTTGTCCGTCATTTTGTTCACGCTGTCAATTTTTGTACGTATGAGGGGAAAGTGTGGCGAGGCGGGGCGGAGAAACCAGAATGCCAGCCAGGGGGGTTGTTGCTTGTTGGCTAGCTATTTCGCTGGTCACGTAAGCTACATGTTTCGACGGTGCCTGGGAGATGCCTCCCCCGTCCTACGTACTAGTGCCAGCAAAAGTAGAAAAAAAAACAAATAGGTATGGTTTGTAGAACATGTATATCTTCCTGATGAGTATATTTCTAGCAGCTTCGACAGAGGCTCCCTTCCCACTGGTGCTGCAACTGCGTAGTTGTTATTTTTATTGCAACGAGTGGGGAACTATTTTTTCTGGTCCATCTTTTGGTTAAAATTTGTGATTTTCCGCTTTATATTTCTTTTTTCTTTTTAAACCCCAACATTGCATACGTCTGCGCTGATTTAAATGGGTCAAAAGTGATGCAAAAATGACATATAAAGTACTTGCGGGGCTTTTTTTTTTTTTAAGCTATTGGAAAACCGTCCGTGGTTGCAAAATTTAAAATATATTCTTCACAAAAATTGGGAGAGCAATTTTATTTCAATTTTGAGAAAAAAAAAAAAATAGGCGCGAAAAAGGGAGCGATAAATAGCTATATTATATGTATATATACCTGTACGTAATATTGTACCGAAAGCAACGGCTTGGGGTTATAAAACAGCGTGCTTTTTAATTAAAGGCCCTTATAGGCAATTTCCGCAGTTATACGCACCGCTCTAGTGCTCAATTTTGAAGCCTGCTACCGCCCACTGTAACGTTGCAACGCCCGTTTGTCAGCGTCCATTTTGATGCATATATTTTTACCTTTTCGAAAAAATTGCTATTGCTATTCCGTGTATGCTACATTGGCCAAATTAATTATTTTTTTTTTTTTATTTCAAATAAAAAGTATAGTCACTGCACGGTGGTGAAAAAAAGGAAAAGCACTACTACTTTTTTTTTTTTTCTCGAAAAATTTTATAGCCCAGGAAAAATTCAAAGCGGGTTAAAGAAAAAAAGGCACACGCACATTCGGGCACACTTGCTGACCTGTTTCCATACCTTTCGAAGGTGGCTCCATTGTATACAAGCACTCCCTTTTATAGCACAAACGCGAAGGCGCAATGGAAGATGGGGTCATCATAAGTGGGGATTACATTCAGATGGGGAAGGACAAAGTGAAGGGAATAAATGAGCACAACTTTGAACAAGTGCATGACGTCGAAAGTGATAACTTCTACCGAAGTAAATGTTCAGGCATTTTATTAAAAACGCCATATTATCCCTACAAGTATGATATTATGAACACAAGTTATAAGTACATGCCCAAAGTAGGCGACCTGGTGATAGGCATAGTCAAGTCCAAAAAATTGGATTACTATCAGATGGACATTAACTGTAATTGTGAATGCATCATACACAAAATTGAAAGTTTTAAATATGCTACAAAGAGCAGCTTTCCAAATTTGTCCAATGGTACACTACTATATATGATTATAGAGAAAATCAATTTGGACAATAACAGCGTTGTTGCTAGCTGCATTAATTCCTCTGATGTAAAGTCGTGGATCAATTATGAGAATTATTTGGGCGAGCTGGTGGACGGGTATATGTTCCCCGTTAGCACTTCCTACGCCAAAAGTTTAATTGGCGACAAATGCTACATTTTGGATTTGATTGGAACAGACATCAGTTATGAAGTGGCGATCGGCCACAACGGGCGGTAAGTGGGAAAAGTGCTGGCAATGCATCATTATGCGGCGTTTAAGCTATTTTATGCGCCTGCGTTCATTTGGACGCAAGCGCCATAAAAAAAATGGACGCATGTGCATAAACCCTGCATCTCGTTAACACCTGCTCCCTCGCGACTTTTCCTCTCAGGGTGTGGATTAAAACGGATGACCCTCGTGCAACCAACATGATACACACCGCATTGAAATACTCATATGGGAAGACCAAAGCACAGGTGGGTTTTTTCTTCCTTTCTCCGCCCATGTCAGACACGTCTGCTGTGATTTATTTTTTCCAGAATGGAACATTCGCATTCTGCATTATTCCTTTCAACCTTATAAAAATATTTTTTTGAATTATTTTATTTTTCAGATGGACGTTCTGTGGAAATCTATTTACAACTTAGGCAAAAGGGACACTTAAAAATAAAAAAAATAATAATAATAAAAAAAAAAACGGCAAGCAAAGGCGTATGCGAAGGTACTAGTGGGTTACACTCCGTTGGCCGCCTTATCTCTTGGCGTAGGATATTTTTAGCCGAGATCCCTGGAGCTCATAATTTTGCAAAGCTGCAAATAGGAAAGGGGGGTAGAAAGTGCAATACTGAGATAACTGTTTAATGCACGTGAGGTGGTGCTCAGTATGGGGACAACATAATTGACACTCGAAGCGGACATGCAACATATGTGGACATTTTATTTCTTTCTAGCCATATGTTATACGCATCGGAGTTGCTTTTTTTTCTTTTTTTTTTTGTTTTACGTATTAATCGTGCTTTAAACTATAATGCAACAGTTGAACATTGCTTCTTTTCTTTTTTTTTTTTTTGTTTGAATGTGCAAACATGTTGCCACGCACATATACACACACGAGGACATATACTTAACAACTTGGCTCGTGGAATCCTCGCGTCGACCCAGCTCACAAAATGGTCCCTCGGCCTTACCTTTCATCGCATTCGTTGCTGCCGCCTCATCGGAGTAATCCACGAAGGCGACGTTCCTCTGTGGAATAATTCTGGCTTCGATAAAGCCGGAAAACTTTTTAAACAAATCATTGAACTCTTGGGTGTTCACATTCTCCACGACATTTTCGACAAACAAAATTTTGCAAGCCACAACGAAGTTATTTTGCATGGGGGCAAATGCGTTCATTGGGTAGTAAGGAGTAGGTTGCTGGTACATAGTGTTGTTATTATTTGTAATGTCTTCATTTTTTTTTTTGTTCTTTTCCTCGTATGCCTTAGCCTGAGCTTTCGCAATTAGATCTTGTGTATCCATTTGACTTAAGTCAATTTTTTTCCTTTTTTCTAATTCATTATTTTGCATAATTCTAAAATTATTCAATTGCATTTCTATATAATTTCTCTGCATCATTTCGAAGATTTCTTTTTGCTTCCTTTCTCTCTCGAGGATCTGTTTTGGCTTTTTGGGTTCCTTAGATCGTTCGACAAATGTACCATCTCTCTTTGAGTGCACATCACTTTTGTTATGAGAATAATTTATCTGCATGATTTTTCCAAAAAGTACAAATCCTTGTAAGGCATTTAGCGCCTTTGTTGAGCTTTCGACTGTATCATACACAACCCATGCTTGTCCTTTTCTCCAAAATGATTTCATAACTACTAGGTCTTCTATTACACCATACTGTTTAAATAAATCTTTTAAGCTTTTTTTCATTTCGTCTATTTTAATTCTGTCGTTTAAGTTTTTTACATACAAGGTTTCATTTGGGGGTATGCTCGGATCTGCTGTAATAACTTTATTGTATTTCAGGTGCTTCAAATAGGCTTTATTGTTCATGTAGTGCATAGGGTTATTAAATAACATAGGGTTTGGTTGCCCTGGATACATTGGCATGCGTAACGGATTCGTCATCATGTCATTACTGTTTTGAAACATGTTCATGGGTGGGTTCATATTCATTGGGAATTTCCCCTGAAAATTTTTTCCAGCATTCATCATCATTCTGTTATTTTGCATGTAGTTCATGGTGGGGTTATACATGGCGTTGTTCATTTGGTTCATCAACCCCCCAGGTGACATCCCTGCACTGTTTAGACCGTCAGGGTGGTTTCTTGCATCCCCTACGTTATTGACATTTTCACTATTTGCATTTGTTTCGACATTCGGTTCGTTACTGTCCTGGGAATACCCCTTGAGGGAGTTCAACTTGCTGGGGTCATCATTTGGGCTACCATCATAATTGGGGGAGTGTTCACCAAAGTTGCCACTTGACACATTATCATGTGTGGTGCTACTTCTTTCATGTAACTCGTCAACTGCAGAAGAAGCATCGTTGTGGTTATATGTGGACTCATCCGGGCTGTCGTTATTCGATTCATTATCGCTCGACTGATTTGTCGCATTGCTATTTGTCATATTGGTCGAGGTGTCATTTCACACGGTAATTTTTTTGGGGGAAAATTTTCCCTAAATGGCTTCTATCGGCCGTTGTAGGGTTTATTATCCCTTGGGGGTCTGTTTTCAGTTCTTCCCCTTTACAAAATACGGTCATGTTAGACTTTGCAGGGGGGTTTCTGAAGTTGCTTCCGGCCGCAGGGCGATATACATAAGGGCAAACATGCGCGTAATCATTAGTACATGTAGCCTGCCTGTAGGTTACATGCAATCGCCTACCCATTTATGGTCTCCAACTGCAGGCCATTTAGCAGAAGAGGGTCACAACCTAGTGCATCATGAAAATATGACACTTATAGGTGTTGTTACAAAGGTGGGCCCACTATCAAGCAAATGGCTTTAAAACTGGAAAGGGCACGAATGGGGACATTTTGGGTGGAAAAATTGAATTTAATTTTATCCCATAAAGAAGAAGAAAAAAAAAAAAAAAAAAAAAAATCACCAGATGTACAATGAATGCGTTCGAGGCGTAGCAAGCCATGTTCATTTCTGCGGGCAATTAGGGGGTCGGAAATATGAGCGTATATATAAATCGCTGGTGAAAAAAAAAAATTCGTTGAGCAGAAGCAATTCGCCCCCATAGTTTCCACGTTACTCTAATTAGTATATATATGTGCCTTTCCGTATGTACGCGCTTGATGTACATTTTTAAATGTGAAAAGTATGGCAAAATATGGAATGTTCATTTGACTCTATTTTGTGATTTATGTTCACATTTTGATCAGATACTTTTAGCAGCGCAATGACATGAAGGAAAAGGGTGTTTCACGTTTTTTCCCCTCAGCGTATGCGGAGTTATTACATACAAGGCTTTTGGGCATTGTTCCATTTTCAGCTTTGTGTTAATTTGTTCAATTTTTTCGTAATTTGGGACGATTTTCCCCTTGCTGAAGGGTTAGCGGAAATTGGATGTGGATGGTATTGCGGGTATATCCCACAAGACGTACAAGTATGTCCACTTACTTTGCCATTATGCGTTTATACACGTATGTCTGTTTGGAGAAAGAGTAAATACCTCATTGGGGACTCCGTTGTGGGGAATATACGCTGCACATGAACGGATGCACGCGAATGTCGATATGAGATCCACCTGTTGACAATTCAGACGAAGTAGAGCGGCGCGCAAGAAGTTCGAATTGGTAGGCCCGTGGGGAGACCACATACGTAAGTGATAACGCGAGGGGAGTTATCAGAAGAGCTGTGTTTGGTTTTCGGAGGGAGGAGACATTCCAATGAAGTTTGATGGACATTTTGTAAATTGAAAACTGTTGCCCAGCTAAGGCAGTTTTCCACTTCACCACACGACCCTTTGGACTCCCCTATCGAGCACCATGTCTGGCGAACTAACAAACAGCGACTTCCGGCTCATCTTTGACAACTATGAAAAGGAAAAGAAGGAAAGAGAAAACAACTTGTTGCTGAAGGAGCAGAAGAAGTTGAAGAGAAAGCAAAAATATTTAACAAAAAAAAAAAAAAATGAAGAAAAGGAGGAACAAAAATATAGAGACAGAGCAGAAGAAAGAAGAAAAGGAATTGTAAAAGATGTTCCAGACGCAAGTGTGCTATATGACAATGCACATAACACAATTGATGAGTCGAAGTTTATGGGAGGAGATACGGAACATACACATTTGGTTAAAGGGCTTGACTATTTACTTTTAAACAAAGTAAGAAACAAATTAATTGATAAGATAAGCTCAGAGAAGGAAAAATTAAAAGCAAATAAAACAAGTGATGGTCGTTTATCCAACAAAATACCAACTTTTTCAAACGATGAATCGAGGCACATTTTTAAATATTTTTTTTTGTATGAACATCCACATCATATACACTTTAAAAAAAAAATAGAAAACATTTATGACAACATAATAAATAACATGAAATTTAAAAATTACAATAAAAATATTTACTCTGTTAATTATAAGTACAACATTAATATGGAGGTGGAAAAAAATGACGTGCCTATCAGGTATATATACAAGGTAGACGACGTTAAGGTGAATTATACTTATCATTTGAAGTCTTCCGTTTTGGACGAAATAGACGTTTGCTTTAAGTGGCACATGGAAAATAGGAAAAAAAAAAAACATGAAAGATTGCCAAAGAGACCACTAACAGGTAGTTTTTTTCAGCAGGAACAGAATTATGAGCTTGGTCAGGAGGACGACGATGACATTGACATTTTTAAGAACGATGGGGGTGCGGTTAGCGGTGACACCAAACGGGCGAACAGCACAGCCACTGCGACGGATTCTGCGAATGATAGGGGTAACCACGTAGGAAGCAGCGCAGACGAGGAGGAGGATGACGACGACGATGATGATTACTCTGAGGAAGACGAGGATGATGATGGCAGCTCAAGTGCCAGTGATGTGCTCACGAAGCAACGCAATGTGGAACAACATGAAAAAGAAAAAAATAAAGAGACACAACTGGACAAGAGCAATAACATAAACTTGCTCTATTCTGGAAAATTGCCCGATAAAGGGAAAAGCAGAACTGAAAATGAGAATAATAAGAACAGCGTAACTGGAAATGTTTTCAAGGACACATATGATGAGTGCTATCCGGGTTATAGGAAAAGCGGCTTTTTTTAGTATACCTATATATGGTGCCCCCCACTCCTTATTCTTTCTGTCTTTCTTTTTTTCCTTTTTTTTTTTTGTAATTTTTTCAACACATTTAAATTGAGAAGAAAAGGAAAGGTGTCATATGTTTTTGTAATCAAAGAATAAACTTAGCAAGAAAAAAAAGTTAACACAAAAAAGGACATTATGACCCAGTTAGACGCGTTTATAGGCATAATTCCTTAAGGGCACATGTTTACATCCCTCTGGATGTGCATAAGCCGTGGCATAAAAAGACTGCGACGATGTAGTTATATACGTGGTAAATTTTTTTGTATTGGATGGACCCCAATGGCACAGAAATTGGAATAAATTATTCGCCTTCCGCGCGTCATATGTTGTCACGAACAGTATTGTAGCATTAGCTCTCCTCTCATCATAATAAGCAGATTTATTTAATCAGGGGCGCCCAGATTTTTTCTCGTATGTGTTTGAGGAATGATGAAAAAGTGGACAACCCCGTCCCAATGCGGATCCCATTTGAAGGATACAGGGTGGAAGGACTACGATGTCATACAGATATGCACACACATGAATACAGACACATACATTAACCGATGGCATAACACACGGCATCCGTCTAGCTCCGTGTGGCCAACATTTGTTTGTGTGTTATTTTAAATTAAATTTTTTTTTTTTGTTCGAATTGGTACTCTTTTTACATTTTTTATATTTTATATATCCCCATTC